ACAAATCAGCATTAGAGCTTAGTGAGAGATCAGAATTGTTCTCCGGCATTCAATGTAAGATATGAATTTTTAAAGAAATACTAGGGACATGTGGGCGAGAAGAAAGCTGGAGGAAGAAGATTAATTTGAGAGAGGCAGGGAGAGTTTGATGGTTAAACCATTTGTACTTTAACTTACAAACACCTTAACTTCTTAAATTCCATTTAAGCTCAATCCCAAATCCCACCAGACTTTAGTTTCCATTTCTTCGTATTAAACAAATATCTTTTCATACCTATACTACACATTAGTCTGTTGTTGACGACAGTCGTCATGAATGCTAGTTGACTTAAAAGTACGAGTGCTTGCACGGGGCTATTAAACAAAGGAAAGATTAAAAAAAAATGTCCCAAATAAAGAGCATCTTAACTTTTAAAAAATCACAATATATATTGTATTTAAAAAATAATTAAAAAATAATATTTTAGATTATGTTTAATATAAATTTATATATTAAATATATTTACTCATTTAATAATATGTGAAAGTTATATAAAAATGTGGTACAAAAAATTATTCTTACATGACTGCACTTATATTTAGAATGTATCTAATTTATACTTAAGAATATAAGTTAATAATATAATAAATATATTTTTTATAATTAATTTTTATAAAAATTATAAAAATTAATTTTTATTTTCTTTATATAAATTAATTATAAAAAAATATATTTATTATATTTAATATTTATATAATAATTTTTATAAATAAAAGAAAAATTAAATACAAAAAATAAAGAAAATTAAAGAAAGATCTATAAACAAAATAAATCATACAAATAATAATAATAATAATTTTTAAAAAGAAAAGAAAATTTAAATACAAAAAAAGTTAAAAAAAATTAAAAAAATACTTATAAGTAAAATAAATCATACAAATAATAATAATAACTCATATAAATAACAAATTTTAAATTAAACACATTATATATATAACTACAAACAAAATTATTCTAAAATATTAAGTACAAA